AGAATTTTGGGGGGATTTTAAATTGTGAATTTTACTCATTTTATATTGGGTGAATTGTGGTAGGTTGTGCTTTTTGAAGAATTTTTGGTCCATTTTATCTAAGTTGTCAAACTTCTGTGTGGGGGGCTGTTCATAATACCCCCTTCTCATCCTTTTGGTGTCTGCAGAGTCTGTAGCGGTAGCCCCTGTTTTATCCTGGCATTAGGGTATTTTACAGTATTTCCAGCTTAATAAAGGCCTCTCTTAGTCCGTATAGCATAATCCAGGTGTGTTCATAGAGATTTGCGTTTGTTAGCTTGTTTGGATAGTGAGGAAAAGTTCTGGATCTTCTAATTCTTTGACTCTCTTTTGTCTTTTAGGACCCTAACTTTCCCTCTGTCCCTCAATTTATTACTCTTCCTCTACCACTCCATGGCCAAAGAGAACTTCTTCCTTCCTGTTGCTTTCCCCCCAGAAGTTGTGCACTTTAAGTCCTGCCTGTCCTTTTAAAATATTCCTGCCTCCTTATATTGCATTTCTATTGATGCTGTAACAAATTCCCAACAATTTAGTAGCTTAAAACAGTGCAAATTTATTACCTGGTAGTTAGGGATGTCAGAAGTCTAAAATGGGTCAGCAGGGCTGCACCTCTCCTGGAGCATCTAGGGGACAACCCGCATCCTTGCCTTTTCCAGCTTCCAGAGGCTTCTGGCATTCCTTGGTGGATGGCTGCACGTCACACTGATCTCTGTTCTATCCCCACATCTCCTTCTCTGCCTAACTCTCCTATCTCCCTCTTTCGCTTCTAAGGACCCTTGTGGTTACATCGGACGCCCCTGGATAATCCAGGATAACCTCCCATCTCAAGATCCTTCCCTTAATGACACCTTCGCTGTCCCTTTTGCCACTTAAGGTAACACGGTCACAGGTTTTGGGGCTTCCGTGCCAGCCCTTTTAAGTCAAGCACACTTCGAAATCCCTTGCTAGGATCTGTGCTCCGATCTGCGGGACACTTTTCCAGTACTCTCAGCTTTAGGGTGGGTTTGATATTGCTGGAGGTGTTTCTAAATAACCCCTAGTGAGGACCCTGGCTCGCTGCCCTGTGTTCCGTGCACTGTTTCTTGTGGCCGGGCGATGGCAGGATGGCGGCCTCATGAGAGATCGTGCACCAGGCTTTGCGGATCGTTCTCTTCTGACTCACAGTTGTTTTGCTGTTTGGCATTCTCTCTGTAAGTAATATCAAATACCTATTTTTTATAGACTTTTCCTTTTTTTTCTTCTTGTTTGGGCAGGGCATTTTTAGAGATAAGGAGCTCTGCTGCTGCCATTGTCCTCAGCAACCCAGAATTTGACTGAAGATCTTTAGGTGCTTTAACCCAAGTACCGCCTCCCGCATCTCAGGGTCCTACGGCTTCCCCGTCAGGGCCCCGCCCGGGCATAGCAGCCCAGAAGTTCAGGATCCAACCTTCTTCATAGCACTACTTCCCTTATACTGATGCGCAGGGCCCAATCCTCTATTCTTTCCGCCCTCTGGCCCCAGGGGATAAGACCGTACAGTGCCACCAAGAAGTCCTCTGGCTTTCACACTGAACCTGAAATCCTCATCAGTCACTCGACTCCTCACTGTCTCTCTCCAAAGGATCGGTGCCCAGTGACAGCCATCCAATTCCGTAGTCCTTATAACTACCATGTTATAAAACAAACTACCATTCGTTTTCAAATGCCTGATGGCAAGGGATTCCCTTCCTGTGGTGACACCATCCCAGTTCTCCGCCAGTGAGAGTTGTATCAGCTGCTCCACCAACCACCACAGGCCAGGCCTGCCTGGGCTCCGCCCCCCATCAGCCCTGGGGCCTCACTGCCAGCCAGCAAATGAGGGATCAGGTTGCAAACTTGCATTTCAGAGTCCGCTCCCCAGACTGCTCCCCAAGGTCCATTTCCCCAGGAGGCAGACCCTGAGATGGATACGGGAAACCAGAAGCATCTTAGAGTGCCGTCGGGGTCAACATGTCTGAGGGCGTGAGGAGACGGGACTCAAGGAGGGAGATGCTGGGCCACCCAGGCGCAACAAAGACTCAACTGCTTCCCTTAGAGTTGTTTTAAATTGAGAGGAGGGGGCTGGGCCTTCTACTCCCAATTCGGCCAGTCTTTGATGGGTTCGCCCCCTAGAAGGAGTGCACTTGGGTAGCTCAGTTCTTATCAAGGAGGAGAAAGTCCCAGAAAGCCCCTCAGCTGAGAACTGCCAGCGTCCATCACTGCAGCAGCCACAGATGCTCAGGTCTCCACTCCTCCCTTAAGGACCCACCAGAGCTATTTTATTTATAAAAAACGTATTGTAATATCTTTGTTTAATTGTTAACAACAAAAACTGCTCGTTGTAAAAGTGCAAAGAATCTGAACATGTGTTTTCCCGGAGCCGTGTCCAACAGGACGACTGCAGAGATACCTGCAGTGGGTGAGGTGGACCGGATGGTGCTGGGGGCCCTCCCGACTTTGAGACCCATTCCCTTGACTCACTGGGGTGTTTTCCAGCCAGCAGGTTTCACTGGGTCAGGCCCCTCGAGGGATCCCCTAGCTCCTGAGAACATAAGGCCATCCTCCCCCGACCCCTGGAGCTAAAGAGGATATCCATGCAGCTCTCCCCTCCTCTGTGAAACCGCCCCCACTCCCCTGCACGCCCGTTCATCATCATTCCTATAACCCTAGGAGGTCGGATTTGTCTTGGTGCAAACGACCCGGTCTTAGGGAGCATCCTAAGGCACACCGGTGATGGGCTTCCCTGGATTTGGAGCCCACTAATCTTGTGATCCTCCCTACCCTCTCTGGGCCTCAGTTTCCCATCAGAATGAGGATAATTATTCCTGCCTCCAGGGTTGTGAGGCGCCATGCTTGTGCATCCCTGAGTACACATCCTCCCCACCCCTTCTCTCCAGGAGGACGACCTGGCAGCCTGGGACAGGCTGAGTGAGAATGTGGAGGCTCTCTACCCTGGCTTCTTCCTGGGGCTGCAGTAGGACAGATGCAGGTTCAAAAGTTCAGAGCATAGATGGGCCCAGGTGGCCTCAGACTGGGTAAGTGGAGGCCTCTGGGGTGAACTCCTGGGTAACCCCTCTCATGGCTCTTCCTGTGCCCTGATTTCCAGGCTCGGCACCATCTTCTCCTGTGCCCCTCCTCGTAGCTTTCCTTCTGGGCTCCAAAGTGCTGCTGGTGGTTGGTGTCACTGCCGTCTATGTCCACAGGAAGCAGAGGGCCTGACCGTAAGTGTGTGTGGGTGGGGAGGGCAAGCCCAGGGCAAGGCCGGCAGGGGGCCAGTCCACACGTCACGCAGCGTCAGGTCGGTGGACTCCAGAGATGACACACCTCCCTCAGTGCCCTTGGGAGTCTCATGGAACCCTGTAAGTGGCTTCCAACTACCAGGAACTACGTGGGTGCTACAGGAGATGGGCTACATCTAGGGTGTTTAGAGGGTATCCACAGGACCCTAGGGTCCCACAGAGGACGTGGGCAGAGGGGGCTGGATGAGGGCAGCTGAGTGGCTGCCTCCCCTGCAGGCCGTCTCTAGATTACTTGAATGCCAGGGTCCGTGGGGCCAAAGGTATCCCCATTGTAGAGTATCGTTGAGAAGCCCCAGACAGGCAGCTCTGAGGGCTGTTCCTGCTCTCACCCTCCGTGTGCCTGAGAGCAAGGGACTCAGGAAGGGGAGTCGGGACTCGGGGAGCGGGGCTGAGCCAGCACAGCCCCATCTCAGGGCCACAAATCCAGCCACGACAGGCATCCCAGGAGGAGACCAGCACCAGGTACATAACAGGCTCTCAGGAATGATGAGCAGACAATTAAATGTGGACATGTTTCCCCTCAGCGCCTTTCTTCCTCCCCTGCCACGTGGGACCCTCTGTCTCTGCTGCCTCCTTCCTTCCTTGCAGGGCTCAGCCGGAGAGAAGGAGCCGGAGAGAACCTTCCACAGACTTGGCTCCAAATGCCTCCCCTCCCAGGACCTCCACCTGCCCTCAGCCTCCTGTATCGGCATTGTCAGTCCCCGATGTCCCCAGGGCCAGGTCTTCTTTCGTGGTCCTGAACGGGGCGATGGATCAGGCGGAGGGGCTGACTCGTAACACGCTCCTAGAACGTGAGAAACAAGCCAAACCTAAGTGCCTCCGGACCTCTCTCACCCACGGCCTCAGGATCGGCCGTGAACCTCAGACTCCCGTCCGGGCTGTCTGGATCCCAGCCTGCCCCAGCTCCCCAGCCGTGCTGAACTTCTCCAGTGTCTCCCGAATACAAATGAACCCCCATCCCGGTTCAAGAAGAAAAAATTATTTTCCTTCCTCTTTGTCTAAATGTCCTACTTCTCGGACCCAGAAAGAAAATAACTTTTCCCTCCTCTCTCTGTGATGGCAACACCAGCTCATCCATCTCCCTGCATCCTTCCGGCCCTGTTGTTGCTCATGGCGGAAATGCTACGACAATCTGAAAAACCTTGGAGTCCTTTTTGATGTCTCTGTTCTTAACACCCCATATTCAGTTCTGCTTTCGAAATGCACGTGTCCCCTGGTGAAATGGTAAATGTTTAACAATTGACTTTGAAAGGGGAGGAAAAAAGCCTAACTTGTGTTGCTTCTCAATTTCTGCGGTGTAAATACTCCCAGTGTGGTCAATTTCAAGTTACCAACCGTTTAACAACCGGACTGCAAAACTGACATTTTACAACAGGCCAAGCCTGCTCCAGCACACCTCTGTTATATCCGTAACCTGCACACTTCTGACCCCCAGGCCCCCTCCCTGTCCCAGCCAAAGTCACCTCTTTCTGGACTATTGCTGTAGCCTCTAACTGGCTTCCCTATTTCAACCGCAGCAATTCTTTGAAAAAGTAAGTCAAATTTTCACTCCTTTGCTATTCTCCAACATAGCTGCATGGCTCACTCCCTCCCTCCTTTCAAGCCTCCGCTCAATGTCACTTTATTAAAGGCTTTTTTTGCACACCACCTTATATGAAATATTAATTCCCTTCTTTCTCCCTGACATACCAATTCCTCTTAACCTGATTTTTTTCTTAGCACTTATTGCCATTTGTACTATGCTGAATACAGGCTGTCCTTGCTTTGCATGGCAGGGCAGGGTTGTGAAAAGGATTGCAGAGCTGGACATGGTGGCTCATGCCTATAGTCCCAGCTACTCAGGAGGCTGAGGCCGGAGGATCGCTTGAGCCCAGCAGTTAGTTCAAGGCCAGCCTGGGCAACGTGGCAAGACCCCATCTCTAAAAAACAAAAAAGACCGTGCAAACTGAAACCCTTGAAAGCAATCTCCGTGTTAGTGAGAAAAATAATGATTGTTCTGGTGACCCTTACAATGTTTTATCAAAGTATTAGAGACTCTCATACCGTCAGTTACAAATATATAGGGCAATGAAAAATAAAATAAAATGAATATTTAGTACACCGTAATTTGAAACATTGGAAACATTGAGAGTTAAAGTGTTTTATTTCTTTATAAAAACCTATCAAGTGTAGTTAGAACAGTGCTTGCCTTCTTGAAGACAGAAAAAACAAATTCTGCCAAAATATTTAAAGAGATTTATTCTGAGCCATTATGAGTGACTGCAACGCAGGGATACACAAACCTAAGAAGCCTGGAGTAAGTGGTCCCCAGGTAGGCAGATTACAGTTTGATTTCATACATTCCAGGGAGACAGGAGTTATAGGCAAAGACATAAATCAATACGTGGAAGGCATATATTGATTTGGCCTGAAAAGACAGGGTATCTTGAAGTGGGGTCTTATGAGTCACAGGTCGATTTAGAGGTTCTTTAATTGGCAATTGGTTGAGGGAATAAAGCTTTGTCTAAAAATCTGGAGTCAGTAGGAAGGAATGCCCAAGTTAAGATAAGGGAGTCTGCTGTCTGTCCTGTGATGCCATACCAGAGGCAGGATGGAAAATAAGCTACATTGTACTCAATCGAAATGACCAATTTTAACAAGATTTTATGGTTTGTCAAACGTGATTCCCCAAGTCCCTTAGAAAGGAATTTGAGTAAGATCAGAAAAGGTTAGAGTTCAGTCCTCATTCTTACATAATTTATGATCTAGAGCAAGCATCTTTCTACCTTGGTCAATTCCTCCTCTCTGTTTGGGTTATCTTTCCGCATCTTATCCTTTGCACTTGCAAGGTTGTGAGATTTGTGTCTCCAAACATTCGTTTCATGTGAAAATTTTTGCTGGTGTCACTTCCTCTGGGACAACTCCACCCTTCCTGTCACCACTGCTTTCCCATTTATGGTAAGTTGGCCTCACGAAGTCCCTCTGGCTGCCTATCTAAAGTCCCTTGAACAGTATCAGGGTCAACATTGCTAATACTTCTATAGCTTGCATTCAATTTCAACTTCACTTCCAGCATTATCACTTCTCATGTCTTCCCTGCACTTTCATCTTGTTTGCCAAATCCCTGTTGCGGTTATTCATTTCCATAAAATGTCAGTGGGCTCACGGCTGGAAGAAACAGAGGCAACGCAACTTCAAGTTTTGCTGTGTCAGTAAGAGATTCACAGGGTCCAACACCAAGAGACTTTGGAAGAAGTGACATGATTGGTCACCGATCGTGATGAGCTTTTGTTATTCACATAGTGATTTGTGGACGGAGGAGCCAGCACGGAAGCTTGCACTTTATGCAAATTACTCACAGGAAATTCACTTTGGTAACTAAAATTTGAACCTTGTGTTGGGGGACTGGTGTTATTTAACTAACGTGTGTTAACTGAAAGTCATGCACATCAGTACCAACGTGAGAACTGCCTGCATTTGTCTGTCTGTCTTCCTAAAATAGAATGCCAGTTCTAACAGGGAAGGGACTGTATGCATCCTCAGTTTTCAAAACAGTGGTTGCCATATAATAGGCCATCAAATGTTTTAATAGATGAATGAATACATCATTGAGGTCATTGGTTTCTACTAGATGTTGGATTTCAAAATAAAACTTTTTTCATTCAATCACCTGACTTGTGTGTTATATTCCCCAGCTCTTTCTTTAAAGATTACTTTCTCTTCTTTCTGTTTAAAAGATCTCATCAAAAATTCAACATCCTCCAGAAAACAAGAAAGTGCTAAAAAAAAAAAATCCTCCCAAATCCCAAAACCAAAACCAAAACCCACATTGACTGGAGTTTGTCAAAGGGGCACAGGAACCAAGTGGAAGAGCTTCCAGTGGCCAAAGCTGGAACAATTTCAGCAACAAAATAAATAAAATAGTATTGAGTTATAGCCCAAAATATAAAATAAATATCTGTGAATCCACAATGACATAAATAAATGATTCAATAAGTTAATAAATGGTGGAGAAGAGAAAAATCTCCTGTGTAGAGGAGTCCCAGATATTTATGTATATACCCCACCCTAACGGAGGTGGAACATACCTCTCCTCTCCTAAAGTGTAGGCTGTGTATAGTGATTTCCTTCCAAAGAGTGCAATATGGAAAGAAAAGGAAAAAATAACTTTATAGTGGAGAAATCTGACAAATTCTACATCAGCCCGGTGATCAAGTATTCATCAACAGTCATAAATAAACATCAATAACCATAAACCATGTCAATAGCATGTATCCTTGATAGGATATGATGAAAATGGCACTCTTCCTCTGTTACCTTACTCCCCCAAAACCCACATCCCCCCATCTAATCATGAGAAAAATATCAAACAAATTCCAATAGACAAGCATCCTGCAATATCCTGCCCAGTACTCCTCAAACCCGTCAAGGTCACCAAAATCCCTGGACACAACCTTTCTGCCTGGGGAGAGGACAGCCCGTTCCAGAGCTGAGAGAGAAGGAGGCCAACATGCTTTTTCTTCTCCCTTTCTGGAAGAATTTCTTCTGTCCCTCCACTTCCTCCCTCCAGAGCTGGCCCTAGACCCAGCCAGACAGGAGAGGCAGCCCTTCCTCTCGCAGGAGTTTCTAGACATGTTGCTGTCTCTCCTGGAGAGAGTTCTCCATGGCTCCACCTTCCCCGAAGAACCCTCCCTCCTCTAAAGCACAGATCATCACCACCTCCAAAACTCTAATATCTTTCTCAGCCACACTCAATTCTTCTTCAGGACGGAGAAAGGGAGTGTCTCTCGGTATTGCACAGAGGGACCCACAGAAAAGCCAGGAGCCCACAGCAGACATTGCACCAGGGCTCATTGTTCACCTCTGGAGGTGGGGTAGCCACTCACTGACAAAATCTCCCAGTGGCCGTGTCCATTCCACACCCATGTCCACAGGGCTGGGCACAGCACCCATCACAGCCCTCACCCTCCAGCCTCTGGAAATAGAGGGTCTGTCTTTTAAATTTATTACCACTCCAAAAATGCTACCTGCTCAATAGAGGAAAAAAAAAGTGTTGGAAAACATGAAATTATAATGCAAGAAAATACAGTGCTGCCACCCAGAAATAACCATTGCTAAAATTTTGCAGAAGTTTGAGTGCTCATGGAACATTGAGTGAGAAAGCTGAGCCCTGCCCAGTTCTGCCTTTTCCCCCCAGAGCCAAGCAGGCATGTGGAGTCTCTTCCTCAAGCCCATCAGTCCACGCTGGTAGAGGCTTCGAGTCGCAGTTGCCGCAACATGCAGCTCAAGGGGTTCAGACCAGATGGAGAGGAAGCAAGACCATCATCTGAGTATGAAGAAGAGGGAGGAAGACTCAGATGTTTGAGACACCCAGGCTCACTGGAGAATTTTAACAAACATCAATTTTATACAATCTCTTTGAAAAAGAATTAACACCACGTTTATACAATCTCTTCCAGAAAATAGAAGAGGAGAGAACACTTCTCAACTCATTTTATGAGGCCATTATCTTGATAGCAAAATCAGATAAAGACTATACAAAAAAAATAAATAAATAAAACTACCACCAGTGTCTTTCATGAACTTAGATGCAAAATCCTCAACAACATATTAGCAAACAGAATCTAACAATGTGTAAAGTTACACACTATGACTAAGTCAGACTTATTCCAGGCATACAAGGCTGTCTTAACATCTGAAAATCAATTATTGTAATCCATCATATCAACCTGTAAAAGAAGAAAAATTGCATGTTCATATCAATTGATACAGAAAAAGAATTTCCCAGAATTCAACATTCATTCATGATGAAAACATTCAGCAAACTAGAAACAGAGGGGGAATTTCCTCAGCTTGATACAGAGCATCTGAAACCTACGGCTAACATTATACTTAATGATGAAACATTAAATGCTTTCCCTACAAAATCAGGAACAAAGCAAGGATGTCCATTCTCTCCACTCTTATTCAACATAGTACTGGAAGTTGTACACATTGCAATAAGGAGAGAGAGAGAGAAAGAAAGAAAGAAAGAAAGAAAGAAAGAAAGAAAGACAAGGCATACAAATTGCAAAGGCAGAAATATTTGTAGATGACATGGTTGCCTAGAAAGTGCCAAAGAATTTACTAAAAGGAAAAACTCCTAGAGCTAATGATTGAGTTCAGCAAGGTAGAAGGATACAAGATCAACATACGAAAAATCAGTTGTATTTTTATATACTAAAAACAAACATATGAGCATGTATATTAGCACCAAAGAAAATGAAAGAGGTATAAATCTAACAGAAATATGTACAAGATCTATATAACAAAAATTACCAAATACTGATAAAAAAATCAAAGAAATAAATAAACATTCATGGATAGGAAGACTCAATATTTCAAGATGTTGGTTCCTCCTAACTTGACCTATTGACTCAATGCTTTCCTAATCAAAATCCAAGAAAGTTATTTTGTGGATATTGACAAACGGATTGCAAAGTTTATATGGAGAGGCAAAAGACCCAGAATAGCCAATATAATATTGAAGGAGAAAAATAAGATCAGAGAACTGACACTGTCTAACTTCAACACTTACTATAAAGCTACAGCAATCAAGACAGTGTGGTATCAGTGAAGGATAGACAAATCAATGAAATACAATAGAGAGTCCAGAAATAGAGCCACATAAAAATAGTCAACTGATCTTTGACAAAGGAGC